TTTATTTCTTTCTTCGGTACTTTTTTCTTGTAAATCACACGCTATTTTAGATTTTATTAGTGGTGATTTTAAAACCTTATTCTTGTTTTTAATAAATACCTAGTCTTCCTCATCTAAAATGCAAAAAAAGGAAGGAATATATTTGAAAAAAAGAGCACTTAATACTCAAATTTTCTCACGCATTTTTTCTTCACTACTATTAAACTGTGATGATGAAGACTTAAACTCACGTGAGGCCAGGGCATTTAATATGGAAATTTGTTCAATTTTATGCTTTCAAATTATTTATTAGAAAAAAAAAAAAAAAATAATAATAATAATACATGCTAAAAACACGCTAGAAGCCAGAGACTGGTTGCTTGTTGAGAGTGCAAAGACAAGCAAAGCAGAGAGAGAATAATTTAATAAAGAAACCAAATGAACTGAATCACAAGTAGCCATTAGCACAAACCACTAATCTCAGTTGCTCTAATGTATTATGTAGGCGATACATACAGATGCATATCAATAGATCACACTGCTCACAAACGGTAGGGGATATACCTAAATTAGAATACATTTATTGGATCAGTCAACGAGAAATTTTCAGTCTTTTGCCTTCTTCATTTGACTGTGAACAAAGCCCAAAGTATATTGGCCTTTGTAAAGCGGTGGCCCGCTTGAATAACAACAAACCAGCTGAAGCTATTTAAACTTCCAGGTGAAGAGCTGACAGGGTGCTTGCATCAGCTTCTTTGTAAAATATTGTCGTTCGAAAGCAGGCCCGATGACAGAAATTTTAGTGTGCTCTGCCCAAATCAATGGAGAGGACGATCCCTCGATAAGTAACGTGGCATTAAACTCCTCATTATCGCATATAATGTTCTATCTAGCGTGTTGAGTGAAAGACTAAAACCCCTCCGAACAAAGTGATTGTACCTCAGCAGTTAATCAGCGATGGAGCAGATACGTCAATTCTTGGAAAACGCCCTGTTGAGTGCTGTTTTATGAGTTTTTTCTTGGTATCCCCTCCAGAAAGATGCTTGGGTACTCGTAAAAACATGATTTGACTACGCTATTTTTAAACCACTCCAAAAAGCCTTACACCACCAGTCACTAATTTAACAGCAAAAAAAAGGTGTTAAGCAAGAATATGATGGCCAGTCAATGATTCAGGCGAAATTATTAAATTCAGAAATGATGATATATAAATAGCAAATGGGAAACTAACTGCGTACTGAAATCCGCACTACGGATATTGAGAGATTAAGTTTCGGTATATATGTACGTATGCGAGCGATATCGAGCTAACAATTAACAAGTGCTCGAAGCTGGCATCAGCGTCTTTGAAATCTTTACTTTTTTCCCTTATGTCTCAATAGACAGATGCAAACACACTCATACATACATACGAGTATATAAATATATGTCTGTATATAATAGCAATAATTGAAAATTTGATTAATGTCATTCAGATTTCTCTGCAATTTAACTTTATAAACATTTGCACATACATACATACATACATACATATGTGCTAAATTAGTGTGTAAACAAATGTTTTTTTTTTTTTTTTTTTTTTTTTTTTTTTTTTTTTTTTTTGTATTAATACTATCTACTATCTACAAGTGTGCACAATTATGTATGTATAATATATAATTTAAATGTATATATATACGCATTTCGTATGCCAAACAGCACATGCCGTTCGCGTGAGCATAAGGAAGTTTTTGCAAAGTGTGGTCTGTGCTGTGCTTTTCTATAACATTTCGCTTCATTTATTGACGCAATTCATTTGCGATGAACTTTATACTTGAATACATACATACATATTTATGTATTAAAAAATATACTTGAAGGTGTTTAAATAATTAATTTTCAAATTTAATTTCATTCAAGAGACACTCAATTTTATATACATACATATATAAGACTCTTATACAACATACATACATACATATAATAATCCATATCTAAATCATAGAGTAAACGTGAGAATTAGCTACAGATTTAGCGTTTGCTTTATATTATATTTTATGCAATTATTTGTGCTGCATGAGTTAAACAAAGGAAATTATGCTCTTTTTTGAAAAGAAAACGCTATGAATCTGAGAGCGGTTCGCAGTTCGCGAGAGGACACATCAACTCGTAACTTATAAAACTGTTAACGAAAACTCTAAATACTCCCAATTTGGAGCACTCGACTGTGGTTAAATTCCTCGTAAGAAAGGAAGTACGCCGAAAGAAATTTTTAAAGAGGTTCTTCAGGACTTTTCTCCTTGCATCGTGTAGCTGCGGCTGTTTCAAAAAAAAAAAAAAAAAAAAAAAAAAAAAAAAAAAAAAAAAACAGCGAATATGCCCAATGACGGTTGTGGCCAAAGAAACTGTTCAGAATGTTGAAAAATTTGTACTGGAATTCAATTGCGGCAGCTAACAGAATGGCAATTAATGAGCTGGAGAGATTTCGCATGAACATTTGAATTTGAAAAAAATTAGTGCGCGTTGGGTACAGCGAATATTGACGCCACTCGATAAGCAGCAACGATTGGAGAGTTGTAAAGTTTTTTTGGAGTTGTGCCAAGATGATTTGGATGAAATTCGCCAACGCATTACAACAGTTGATGAAACTCAATGCAGTGGATAAAAATTCAAAGTGGAAAAGTCGGCGTCGAAGATTATGTCTATCATTTTCTGGGATAGCGCGAGAATATTACTAATTCATTACTTGAAAAAGGGAACTACAATGAACGGCCAGTACTCGTATTACGCTGATTTGTTGAGTCAGGCGCGTAAGACAGTCGTACAGGAGAGACGAGAGGCAAATGCCTTAAAAGCAACTGGATTCACAGACTGGCTCTCAGAAGATTTTCAGACGACAGTGAAATGAAAGCGGCCTTAGAAAACCATTTTGAAGAGAAATCTAAAGAATATTTCTTCAGTGGTATAGAGGCTTTGCATTCGCGATGCGAATTTCACTTGTGTATTTCACATGAGGAAGACTGTATTGAGAAAAAAAAAACATAAAACTACAGTTGTTAAATTAAGTACTTTAGGCCGCAAGATTATCAACTGCCTCGTATATCTCGTATATAATAGGTTCATTTGTTGAACGGCTCTAGGTTACGCCAGGTTAATCTATTTCCAATTTTGTTTTTTTTTCGTGAAAAATTTTCTGCTCTTATTTGCTCTCTTTTTTGTTTCGTGAGTAAGCTCTAAGCAGAGATAAAGCAACACAGAACATAAGTTTCTGCTCTGTTTTTTTTTTGATTTGGTTGGAGAAACTTGGAGCTAACAATTAGATTCCTTTATCAAACGCGATTAGAAAACAAAGGAACGAAAAATTGTTGGTCCGAAGTATATAAGTACCAGAAGGTGAAGCATAAGACCTACCAATAATGATGCGGATCGGATTAGAACGAAGAAATTAGCTGAGTTAGCTTTTTTTGATTACCCGCACGCACGTCAATCTAGATGAATGGTATTCAACTGTGAAATCATGCCTCAGGGCAGCTAATATTAAGAAAATACTCGTACATAGGTTTTATTCCAAAAATCTTAGGATAAAAACACGTCCTCCGTGGTAGGATTTTCATTTAGTTTTAAGATTTATATACTTACTGTTAGGTTTATTAAACAACTATTGATGGAAGCTATAAAAATCCTGTATGACCGAAAACAGCACTTCTATCTGGATTGAATTCAAATCAGTTAAAATAAACTAAGAAATCTATATAGCTAATTTTGAATCCACCGCCTCTTATTGGCTTTGGAAAAGTTCCCATGGCAGTGGGGTCTTTATACCGGAATCAGCCAGATTTTTACCCGCCCAAAGGCTGTCACTTCCGAAATATACCCCGAGAAATAATTTGGGAACATTTATTTTTGGTTCGCGTTATAAAACAGTGAAAATAACTTGATAAGCTCTGCCGAAGAAGTGATCGCGGAAGCATGAACAAGAAGCCTCTACAGATGTCAAATTCTTTGTTTTGTTATTGTTCCCTCAAATCCTTTTTAAGACGAAAATCTCAGCTGGTGTACTACATTTTTTAAATACCACTGAAGAGGCTTTTCGTGAGCTAAGGAAAAGCTTCACCCTGAGAACCATTTGAGGTTGATTTTGAAGAGCACCATGAAAATCAGCGAAAAATATATTAAAATATTTTTACAAACTACGATCTAAATCTAAAGTAAAAAAGTTGGACGCTATAAAACAAATTTTCTACTTAAGTAGTTTAAAAATATGGTCGACTATCCAGTACGAGTATGCAATGGGTACCGTTGATCGTCTATCGTCTATTGATTATTAGCACTCAACACACTTTGGATTAATTTTTTAATCAGTGAGTATAGAAGTTCATCAAATTCCTTCTCTCTTTGAGATATAAATAGTTTATGCGATGAAACTTTTTTGGGAAAAAATACCCATGCGAATAAACAAATAACAGAAAACCTGTTCAAAAGTGTTAAAATTCTTTTGATTCTGTGAGCATAATGTAAAGTACCTTAAAATATATTTACTATTCACAATAGTCTAAGATTCTCGAGCTGCGCTACTCAACCGCATTTTAGCAAAACTGCCTCAGTGTGAGTTACACCCAAAAAAATTGAGCTCTTCAATCTCCCAACTAAGCTTAGCGAAGATCGATCGATCGATCCAGTGATTTGGCTGCTGTTGGTGCTGCTCGGCAATATTACGGCCAGCAAATTAATTATGCGCGCACGTTTGGGCTATGAATTTTGTTGACTTTGTCAAGTTTTAGCGGCTATCAAACAAGAGCTAACTTGCTGAGCTGAGAAGACATCGACAGTTTAAAGGCATAGAGCTCTAAGCGTGTGTACGTTTCTTTCTCGGCGTCTTCGTTTGCAAATATTTAGCCAAAGTAGAGCGGGCGGGCATTTGAATTCATCATAACTGGTGTGAAGACTCAATTGCCGCGGCTAGTCTGTTTTCGACCGCGGATTAGATATATTGATTGCCCTTGGCAATACGGAAAAGTTGATTTATTCGAAGAAAAAATACTTTCTCGCGGAGTTTTTTGAAATTTCAATTAAATATAAAGATCAGCAGATAAATTTAAAGCTATATAATGGATTTCGATGCATTGTTGGAGAAATGTGGCAATTATGGACGTTATCAATTTGTTTTGCTACTCGTTTATGGCTATACGAATATAATGTCCTCGATGCACTACTTTGCACAAACGATAATTAGTTTTACGCCAGAGCATTGGTGAGTGGGAATGACGGTACATATGTAACCGCCATACGTACTAAATGCGTGTGAGGATGTGAAAGAATAAATTATTAAAGAAAAATAATGACACGAAGATTACAATAAAAAAAAAAATACAATATTCTAAATAAAATAAAATGTAATGTAAAAATAATATATATAAAACAAAATAATATTAAAAAAATAATAAAAGATAAAATAAAATACAACGAAACAAATATAAAATAAAATAAAAAAGTAAAATAAAATAAAATAAAAAAAATAAATTAAATTAAACTAAAATAAAATAAAATAAACTAAATCTTAAAACAAAGTAAAATAGAAAATTGAACATTTAATAAAAAAAAACGAAAAGAAATAATAAAATAAATCAAAACAAAATAAAAGAAAATAATACAAAATAAAATATTGAAGAATAAAATAAATTAAATTAAAGTAAAATAAATAATAAAAAAACTAAATTAAAAAAATATATTAAACAAAATAAAGTAAAGTAAAAAAAAAATTAATAAAAAATAAATAAAAAATTAATTAATTACAACAAAATAAAATAAAACAACATAAAATAAAATAAATTAATGTAAAATAAAATAAAATAAGTAAAGTAAAACAAATTAAAATATAGTAAAATAAAGAGAAATAAAATAAAATAAATAAAATTATATAAATTAAATAAAAGTAAAATGAGATAAAATAAAATTAAGCAAAACATCCAAAGATTAATAAAAAAAAATAAATAAACAAAGAAATAATAAAAAATAAAGAAAAATAAAATAAAATTAAATTAAATTAAATAAAACAAAACGAATTCAATTAAAATAAATAAATGCATCAAAAAGAAATAAAATGAAATAATCTAAAATACAAATACAAAACAAAAATAAATCAAATTAATATAAATAAAATAAAATAAAACATGAAACAAAACAAAATTAAATGAAATTAAATTAAATGAAAAAAAATAGACTAAAATAAATTGAGATATAAAACAGAGAATAATAACATAAAATAAATTACAGAGACAAAAAGTAAAATTAAATAAAATAAAATAAGTAAAATTAAATAAATTGAAAAAAGTGAAATATACTAAAATAAAGTAAAATAAAATAAAATAAAAAAATGATATAAATTAAATAAAAGTAAAATAACGTAAATTGAAATAAACTAAAATTAAGTAAAATATCTAAAGATTAATAAAATAAAAAAAATAAACAAAAAATATTAAGAAATAATATAAAATAAAGTAAAATAAAATAAAATAAAATGTATCAAAACAAAATAAAATGAAATAATAAAAATAAAAATAAATCAAATTAATAGAAATAAAATGAAATAAAATAAAATAAAATAAAATAAAATAAAATAAAGTAAAACATCTAAAGACTAATAAAAGAAAAAAAAATAAGATAAATAAAATATATAATGAAATAATATAAAGTAGAGTAAAATGAAATAAAATTAAATAAATGAAATAAAACAAAACGAATCAAAATAAAATAAATAAATGCATCAAAACGAAATAAAATGAAATGAACTAAAATAAAAATACAAAATAAAAATAAATCAAATTAAGATAAATAAAATAAAATAAGGCATAAAACATAGTAAAATAAAAAAATAAAATAATATAAAATAAATTACATAAAACAAAACAAAATGAAATAAAATTAAATGAAATGAAAAAAATAGACTAAAAAAACTAAAATATAAAACAAAGAAAAATAAGATAAAATAAATTACAGTAAAATAAAGTAAAATTAAATAAAATTAAATAAGTGAAAATAAAATAAAATGAAGTAAAATAAAATAAAAAAAATTTGACTAAAAAAGACACTAAATGTTGTAAGTGGAAATATTTAAACGAACTTGCACACTAAATGCTCGTGCTAGGAAGCAGTCCTCAAAGCTGCCACCTCCAACTGATTCAAGTGAGAAACATATTTGCAAAATATTATTTTGTGCTGTAGCCATTTTCTGAATATTAATTCGCAATTTTAAGTGCATTTTCTTGCATTGAGAATAAGTCTGTGAGTTCGCTGGTACTTATAACAGCTCATCGCATTGAAAAATTATAAACAGACAACGCTTTGAGAAATAAGTGAAATATAAATTCAAGAAACACAGTCTAACGCCAAATATTTGGCCAAATTGCTAAAGCCAGACAACTTGAAAGTTAATTTCTTATGCAAAGTTTTGAATCGTGTCAATTCGAATTTTATGCAAATTAATTGTACATTTTCATTTGCATAATTTACAAAATCTCTGGTTGCTCTTTGCACCAATTTCGCGAAAGAGTGTTGGTGTCTGTTGGTTTTTCAAAATCTTCCAACACTAAAACAAAGAAAAAAAAAATAAAATTATATTTTATAACTAATAATGCTAAATACTTGCATAAATATACTCGTATGCATGTATGGGCGTGTGTCTTGTCGAACAGAAACAAATTATTTACGTAACGTGTTTTTTTTCTTCAAAAAAAAAAAAAAAAAAAACCAGGTGTAATCACGAGCTGCTCGAGAACCTAACTTATACTGAGATACACGATCTATATGCCGAAATTGAGAATCCTTCGTGCACTCTGTTGGATGATATTGTGAATGGCACAGCGGTTGTATCAGATTTCGGTGAATGCGAGGACTGGATATTTAAATATGAGCATGGTTATGAGAGTGTGACAACAGATGTGAGTTTGACTGGAAATTTTCTTATGAAGTTTTTAAATTTTGATTATTTGGTTTTCAAGAGCCTGTAGCATATTTGACAGAGTGTCTAAAGGTGGTCTGCCCTTAGATGTAGAAATCCATATATTCCAAAAGTCGATTGTTTTCTTTTTCGTATTTTTTTTCCCAACCAACAAGGGATATCACCTTTTTTGGGCAAGTGATAACCGCTGAAGAATTGTCGGCCGAATTTTTCCTCAATCAGCATCGGCTTTCATTAGGAACATTTGTTTTCTAGTGCGATATTTCTTCGTAGGGGTTGATACTCACTACCCGCGGGCGACTCTCCTTGCTTAAAATTATTCCATAAAATATTGCCTTTTTATTACCCGATATGCTTGAGGCCTTCTTGTAAACTCTCATTAGACAGCTCCTGAATACTAAAAGTGAATGCAGTGTTTACTAAGACTTTTGAATCCCCCCAGCTGAAATGGGTTTGTGATGATGCTGTGAAAGGTGCAATTGGACAATCTTTCCTCTACCTAGGCTCTGTGTTGGGCACAATATTGTTTGGTTTTCTAGCCGATAAAATAGGACGACTGCCAACGATGATGCTGACCACACTCACCGGATCGGCTGGCGATTTTATTACATCTTTCGTCACCACACCGCATGCGTTCGCTGCAAGCCGCTTCATTTCAGGCTTAAGTATAGACACATTATTCTATATGAGCTACATAATGGGTGAGTAGTTTTGAGAGATTTTAATTTGGATTTTGAGCTTATTGATTCACATTTCAGTTTTCGAATACTTGGATCCGAAGAAGCGTACTTTCGGCTTGAATATAATAATGGCGTTCTTCTATTGCTTTGGTCTCGTCATATCACCGTGGTGTGCCATATGGGTGGGCAATTGGCGTAAATATTTATTGATTGCTTCATTGCCAGCGCTCGTCGTGTTCGTCTATCCTCTTTTTATAGTCGAAAGCGCCCAATGGCTGGCCACAAAGGGTGACTACAAAGGCGCTGTACGTTGTCTCAAGCGTGTGGCGAAATTCAATAAGAGGGAGGTAGAGGAGAGACATTTCGATGATTTCATATCGCATTATGAAGAGAAAATGGCCGGTGAGCATAAGGAGAAGGAGGAAAAGGATACTTTTACGGGAGTTTTTAGAACGCCGCGGTTGCGTAAATTCATCATCGTGTTGTTTATAAAATCGTGAGTATTTGAAGAAACTAATACTAAATACAACTGTTATAATAATTTGAAATTTCCCACTACCACTTTGCACAGCATGATCACCACCATCTCCTACGACATTATCAGTCGCAATATGGAAGGTTTCGGCTCATCGCCATTCCTGCTCTTCTCACTCACTTCAATCGTTTACATACCAGCTGGCTTTACGATCATCCTACTACAAAATCGTATTGGTCGCAAGGGTTTGGCATGCGGTTCGCTCTTGGTCGGCGCTATACTCACCGCCATAACGGGTGTGTTGATTGCGTTGCTCGATCTGAAGGAACACGCTGTCCATTTGGCATGTATGATCGGCTTGGGCCGTTACATAGCCATTGTTTCGTACGAGGCGGAGGCCCAATATGCTGCTGAAATAATACCGACAAGTGTGCGTGGTCGCGGCGTAGCGAACATACATGTGGTGGGCTATGCCTTCAGCTTTCTGAGCGCGTATGTGATCTATTTGAGTACAATCTTTAAGCCGCTGCCATCGATCGTTTTGGCAGTGCTGATGTTGATTGGTGCGGCGTTGTGTCTACTGCTGCCCGAGACGTTAAATCAGTGAGTTGTGGGCGTGAAGGTTGGTAAAATAAAAATTATTAAAAAAAAAAAATTTTTCTTTGCAGAAAATTACCAGAAACGCTGTTGGATGGCGAACATTTCTGCAGCGATGAAAAATGGTATTATTTCCCTTGCATAAGTCGAAAGAAGGATGATAAGGATATTGAGATAACGAGGTTGTGATGCCTTCGAGTGGGGTGGGTGTGCAAATGTATTTTTTAAGAAATTATTATTTAAACAATTTTTACAAATATTCATCAGCAATGAATTTGATTTTCGTTGATTTTTATAGGTTATGTGTATTATGTATTTTTGAGCATAGTTTATTATATTTTTATATGTTTATCCAAATATTATGCACACATACATATGTATGTTTGTGTAGATATGTATATAGCATGATTTATTTATACATATAATATATATATTTGTAGATAATGTACGTAAACAAAATTATGTATAAATAATTTTTAATTATGATCACGCTAATTATAGAAAATTAATTTGTTTATCTGTTGTTTCATGACGGAGCTTAATAAATGAATACTAAAAATTAAGGAAAGTTTATATTTTTCACTGTTATTTACGCTTTGTCTGTTTGTTTGTTTACTTTTTCCCCCAAATTGAATATTGTCAGCTTATGTGCAATGCGTGTTTCTCATTTGATCAGTCTTTATTAAATGTGTCGCTAGACGCATAAAAAACATATACTCCTGCTTTACGAGCCGCAGACGTGGCTTATCAATTACTGAAGATTTGTATTTGTTTTTTCTAAGAAAACGCACAAAAAGCACAAATAAATGCCACACAAGCGCGCTTGGCTCGGTCTTGCTCGTGCTCGTGCTCGTAAAACAACTCTATCTCGCACACATACACACACACGAATACACATACACACCTGGAGTATCACTGAGATTTTGATTACAGAAGAAAGCTGCTGCTACACTCACACACTCATTCATTGCATTTCGATGCGTCACAAGCATTACCTGCGTGTGCCAAGTGGCCCACATTCGTTTCAAGAAAACAAAAAATGTGTATATAACAACTGGAATCTTTTCGTAAAAATCTACAGGTAAAACACGGAAGAGAAGCGCGTCGCTTGACAAAAAAAAATCGAAAAAAAAATCGAAAAAAAAAAGTTTTTCACTTAGTCTTCGTCCGGTTATAGGCTCATTTGGATTTACTACCTGCGCCAATTTATTGTACAAACTTACATATATGTATTTACATACATACATACACACAGTATTTTTATTTTTGGCTTATTTGCATTTTATTGTTGCGTCGTAAAATTGACAGCTTATTTTTTCTTTCGGTTTGTTTGTTGCATAAGGTTGGGGAGAACTGTAGGTGTGGCGTAAATATGTATGCATAAATTGATGACAGTGATACATATACGAGTATATAAATAATTATTGCAATTAAAAACACAGCCGTATATATGTACGTGTGCTAGAATAATAAAAAGCTGAAAATTCATACACAAACGAATTTCAAATTTTAAATAAAAGAAAAATGCAATTTGCATTGATTATGAAGTGGCAGTCAACCAAATCATACATACATACATACAAGCATACAAACATGCCTACACACATATGAAATTGTAACATTCAAATAAGACACACACAACAGTACGCGCATGCGCCACGCGCCTTAACTGACAGTCAACATTTTATATACATATGTTGTGTATAAAGATCCGTATCTAATATATTCATTATTTATGGATATACACACAGACGTACATACATCACTTTCTGTGATATATTTCATTTACGCTTGCTATAAAGCCATAAATAATACAGGAGTAGGAAAATAAAAATAAAAAATAAAAATAAATTGTAAATTAAATATAAATGCCGTTTATATACAAAAAGACGGCAAAAAATAAATAAAAAACAGTTTAATACGAGTAATGGAGAATATGCATAAATCCTACCCATTTTTTTTTCGAAACAAATAAAGCTTAACAGAAGCATTAAAACTGCGGCTGGAGGGTAAGTCATCATGAATTGAAAATTCGTAGCGCGTAATTTCGAAGCAATTGTTGGTTAATGAGCTGAGAGCAAACATATAATTTTTTACACAAACACACTTACAAAATATGTTAAGCAGCTGGCGTATTTTCAAACAGTTAAAAGTGCCACGCCTCATTTTTATCTTAAAAAAAAACTTCAAATATAATCACACAAATTTTTGTCTTTTTTTTAATTAATTTTCATTTATTTTTTTTAATTTTTTTTATTCCTTTTTATGTTTTATTTTAGTTTTTTTCCTTTTTATATTTTATATTAGTTTTTTTTATATATTTTCTATATATCCTCTTTTTAATTAATTTTCTACTATGCTTTTTTATTTGTTACTTTTTATTTTTGTCATTTTTTTATATTATTTTAGTGTTTTTATATGTTTTTTTATAATTTCTTTTTAATTAATTTTCATTTATGGTTTTTTTTTGTTACATTTTACTTTTTATCATTTTTTTTACCTTCAACTTTTTATTATTTTTTATATTTTATTTTAGTGTTTTTATATTCTCTTTTTAATTAGTTTTCATTTATGCTTTTTTATTTGATACTTTATATTTTTTTATTTTTTTTTACTCTTAATTTTTCATTCTTTTTTATATTTTTTTATTGTTTTTATATCCTCTTTTTAATTAGTTTTCATTTATGCTTTTTTATTTGATACTTTTTATTTTTTTATTTATTTTTACTCTTAATTTTTCATTCTTTTTTATATTTTTTTATTGTTTTTATATCCTCTTTTTAATTAATTTTCATTTAAATTTTTTTATTTGTTACTTTTTTTTTTATATTTTTTTTTACTATTAATTTTCTTATTCTTTTTTCTATTTTATTTTAGTGTTTTAATATTCTCTTTTTAATTACTTTTCATTTATGCTTTTTTATTTGTTACTTTTTATTTTTGTCATTTTTTTTCTTTCAATTTTTTATTATTTTTTATATTTTATTTTAGTGTTTTTATATTCTCTTTTTAATTAATTTTCATTTATGCTTTTTTGTTGCTTTTTATTTTTTGTAATTTTTTTTACTTTTAATTTTTTGTTCATTTTTGATATTATTTTAGTGTTTTTATATGTTTTTTTATATTCTCTTTTTAATTAATTTCCATTTAAGCTTTTTTATTTGTTAATTTTTATATTTTATCATTTTTTTACCTTTAATTTTTTATTCTTTTTTTATATTATTTTAGTGTTTTAATATTCTCTTTTTAAGAAATTTTCATTTATGCTTTTTTTTGATACTTTTAATTTTTTATTCTTTTTTAGATATTATTTTTAATTGATTTTCATTTATGCTTTTTTATTTCTTATTTTTTATTTTTTTTATAATTCTTTTACTTTTAATTTTTTATTCTTTTTTATATTTTATTTTAGTATTTTTATATTTTTTTATTTTCCCTTTTTAATTAATTTTCATGTATGCTTTTTTTTAATTTTTTAGTTTTATTTTTTTATTTTTTCTTTTTAAATTTTTTTCATTCGCACTCGCGTTCAGCTGATTGCTTTTTGCCGATAAGTCCACGAATTTTAATTGCCTTGTTAAACACGTCGTGCTACATACATACATACATACATACATACATACATTTGTATGTAAGTTGAGTTGTTTTTGTAAATTCTTACCTGTCGGTGAGTTGACATTTAATTAATAAAGAAAACATTACTCAACATGTACATTTTTCGATTGATAATTCAAAAAAAAAGTTCGTGAATTTCAATTGTTAAATATTTCGTTGCTAAGTCCATGGTGTGGTAGATATTTAAGTAGATCAAAATTTTCCAAAATTTAAATTTTTGTTATTAACAGCACCGACTTTGTTATATTAAACCCTGGTTATGTTAATTAATATATCCCAATAAAATACTTCACCTCAGACCATTTGTTTAATCAGTGAAGTAGGTCAACAGTTCTCGCCTGAAAAAACTCCACCGTCTGAAGTCCAGCTGGGGAGTTGTGATAGAAGCAGCTGGATGATACCGGCTTAGAGACACAGTGATCTGTGTAGTCAAAAATGAATAAAAGGGTTACAGCTGACAGTGATGATCGAAGTGTAAACAATTTCAGACCGGTCGCGCAGCTGACGCACGGGCATCAGCTGGTTGTAAGTTGGCCAAATAACAGTAAAAAGAGAAATCAGTAATGGGTATAACCCAAATGTGGTCAATTTCCGAAAATTGTGTTTTCTGTCGGGAAAATTTTTACAGTTGAGCAATCCGCAAACTCTTAGAATTTAACAAGAACTTGAGTCATCTATTGGCCCCCAATAGGTGGCACCCGTCACAGATACTGGTTTGATCCGCTGTAATCGCAAATGAGCGCTATCCAATCCTTTTCATCGATGCTGGTGTCAAGGTAAATGCGTGGAAAAGTATTCTGAAGGTTGCTTTGAAACCGCCAGACAAACATTCGGTGGCAGACCATGAACATTTCAACAGGACTCGGCACCATCTCATAAAGCTTGAGTGAACCAAGAATGGCTGAAACTTCATAACGTCCACAATGGCTCTCGCATTCACCAGAAGCTAATCAGAGGGATTATTTTCCCAAAAGCCATTTTGGAGGTCCGAAATGAAAGAAACACCAGTCTCGAGGCGCTGAATAAAGCCTTTATCCAAAATACCTACAAGACCGTCTCAAGGACATAGTCAAAGCAAAATGTGGCTATATCGACCAAAAGGAAATTTGTGTCCGATTTTCGTATTATTTTCAAACATTTTGTGCTTTGAATTGATTAAAAGTGATTTCTCCAAACTGAATTTATGGCATTTTTAACTGGTGTGTCGGACCTTGTATACTCTTATTTATAAAAATCTTATGTCCGTTTGTAAAGATCCAGTAAGCTCCAATCACTGCCCACCAATTGGCCTGAAGTTGAAGTTTTGTCCAGTTGTTTCTTTGGTTCCTCCTAGGAAAGTTTATACGAAAAAAATTTTCAGGATGTAGACCAGGAAAAATCACATTTATGGTTCGATTTAATTGGAATTCGGTGGCTTATTGCTTAGATTAGCAGGCAGATTATATACTCTCCGGGAAGTGGACCAAAAGCAAAACCATAAATTGGAGGAGGAGCTCGGCCGAAAATCGCTTAATCGATCGTACTTCAGGACGGACTACATTAGCCTATCACTTCTGTAATTTAGTGATGTCAAATGAAGAACTCATACAAGGAGCATTCCTAAATATTCAAATCAATTATAGGGATCTTGGATGACTGAGTT